GGAAAGGGATGGAGCAAGCAGGTCTCTGATACAGTTTCAGGTTGAGTCTTGAACTGCCTCCCAGTCCTTGGGGTGAGCCTTGGAGCTTAAGTCCTTCCTTAATCTAGAGTTGTGAGCCTGAGGCAGCATGCTTCTCTCTCTTACTATGTCAGGCATTCCTTGGAGAAGCAGTGCTCATAAATCAGGGTAGCCTTTGCAGTATATAGGTTATGGCTCTGTGACCTAGTTGGCTCCCAAATGTCCTGTCCAGGAGTAGTCTTTGGTACAGACTAATTTCATAGTTTGGGACCCCTTGGCTTGGCACTGCATAATGCATTAATTTTTTGTTAACTTCCATCCATAGACATGAACCACTTGGGCAAATTCAGAAAATTTTACATACTAAATGAGTTATTCTGCCTTTGTTCAGACTTTCTCCTGTCTTTTGCTCTTCCTTAAGCGATTTTTACTGTAACATGCATAATCCGAATTTGTCAATCTGTATTTACGCTTAGGACTTGACCCTGTAAAATGCCTTGATGTTATGTGGGGTATGAGGAGTTAGTGCTAAATACCATCTTTTGAGGAAAAGGAGTTTCCTGTCTCTTACAGGAATTTCACTCAGTTCTATAGTAGAGCTGGGGAGGCTGGCTGGAGGTATGTGCTTTTGACCAGTGTGGAAGCAGACACTGGACTGTCTGAATAACTCTTTCTTCAAAGAAGAGTTACAGCCTTGAAATAGGGGAGTTGGTTGCAAGGGAAAAGGCAGTCCTGGTCTCTCCCTTTTCCCTCTCTTCTGATGTTGCATAATTATGATAGGATCAAGTTCAGTCACTGGAGAACTTGGATCTGTTTATTCTTTTGGTCACCAAAAGATCATCCTAGATCTTGGCTTGCCTGTCCTTCTAGTATACTGTATGTTTGTTTCATACCCACTCGTTGTAGCGCCTTGGGCACATCTAAACCTTCCATACCTCCTTCATGCTGCCATTCAGTAAGTCCTGTGTGCTTTATGGACATGAAATCAGCTTGCTGTTAGAAACAGGAAGTTCATTGATCCATTCAACGTCCATGATGGCCTGTGTGCCAAGTCCTTTACCAAACACAGACACATACTGGTGTCCACAGCAGACCTAGCCTTGTCCCTCCCTGACCCAGCTATCGTAGGCTAGAGAGGGAGAGGCGTGGACAGAGGAACTGGGAGACCCAACTTATGCCTTATTTATGAAGGCTTTCTGATTTGAACATAGAAGTGAATGCAGGAGGTGGATCTGTGATATTACCTTTTACCTTATGAAGAGATAGGGAAATTGTCAGAAGCTCTGTGTCTTCATTATAGCCTGAATTGCCATTTGTGAAAAATGTCATGTAAAAACTGATGATGACACCTGCCCGTGTTAGACTCTTTATGATTTGATGGGTGCTGGGCCAAGTAAGTGCTTTGATGTCCCCATGAGAAAAGGATAAAGGTACTATTGTTACTCTGGTTCTCAATAAACTGAAGCCCTGGCCAAATCAGCCCCATTCCCAGGGCTACAACTAGGGCGTGGCCGGGCTGAATGATAGCACTCAGGGCTCTGTCTTTTAGACACGGGAACAGGCGCTGCTCTCTCAGATGAGCTCCTTTGCAGGTGCATCTAAAAGTTAGAATAAAGTTCTTCTCTGCCATTGCCCAAGTTAATCATGTTCTACTGAGCAGATGAGAGAATTGGGAGGCTTTGTTATATATCATAAGGCAGTGCCTGTCAATATCTATTTAGATAGCACATGGAGAATTTAGTAAACGAAAGTTTGAGGAAGAGATAAATAACACAACAGTAACATTCCAAAAGGGCCAGATTTGAGATCCCGATGTATTTTCTGTGTAATACACACAACTATCTTTAGATGTTTTGAATAGTTAATGCTGGATGAAGGTGACTCACCCTGTGATCCTGGCTACTCAGGAAGCTAAGATGTGGAGGATCCAAGATGAAGCCAGCCTAGACTCTAGAATAACCAGCAAAAAGCAAGGCTGGAAGCATAGCTAAGTGATAGAACTCCAGTTATGAGCAAAAAACCAAGCAGCCTTGAAACCCTGAGTTCAAATAAGCATACAACAAAACAAACAAAATAACAGCCTTACAAATACTTAAAACAATTTTTAGGGAAGTAATGTGAACCTAGTTTGCAAGCATCTCAAGGTTTATTGAGTTTCTTTTTGTAAGGAAAGGATGTAGGGAGTTAAGCAAAGGTCTCAACCTCTCTAGCAGAGACGGAAATCAAAACTTAACAGACCTTCCACTTAGGGCAGAGTGGGAACCAGTCTTTTTTTCCAGTTACATTTTGCCTTATCTATAATGAGAAAACTCTTCTCGGAGGACTTGACATTGGCTGTGTCTGATGGAAAGAGGGAAGTGGGGGTGGGGAGGAGTTTCTCAAGAGCTTTTCAGCCACGTGATCAGAACTGTTGAATTGACACTTGCAGCTCTGCCCTGCAGTCACACAGTTCCACCAATAATGCAGATTTCACACCGAACCTACATTCTTCTAGATCTCTGAGTCTAGTAAAAGTAGAAGCAAGTCTGGCTTCATACAAAATCATGAAGGCTTGTTGTAATTATGAGCAAAACCAAAGGAGTCAAAGAGTAAGCAGAAGTCCCTGGCTTTGCTGAGAGCCAGCTACAGCTCCTGGCGACTGACAGAAGCACCCTGTGTCCTGCAGTGAGCCCTTCAGGAAAACAGCCATGTGTAATTTCATAGAAATGACCCCCAGGTCACTGGGGTCAGGTGGTCCTGCCCAGTCAGTAACTGAATCAGTTACCTGAAGAAGAGTGTTCACCTATCACTAGTCAAACATAAAGGGTTGTTATTTTTCCTGTCTTTCAGCTAAATATCAAATTTTCATCAAAATCATCAAGATTTTCTTGCCTATTACGGGCACTACTTGTTTTGGGCTAGCCCCTTGAAGCTGTTCAGTAGTAGAGTAAGTTTGCTCTGGCGTCTCAGGAGTCTCAGTTTTGAATGTGCCTTACTGGTTTCTTTTGTGTTGGTCTTTTTGAATGCCTCCTTTGCGTCCCTTCCCTCCCTTCAGGAAGTGAAGTTCAGTGCATCCTCACACAACTTACAAGGACAAGCCAGCCTGGACACGCAGTTAAAGTTTGACTCTGGGCCAGAGTTCCAAATTGCTTGGGTTGAGGGCCATGCAATTAGTCTGACCATTCCACAAATGAGAGGGTGATAACCCAAGAAACACTTAAATACTTTTTAAAAATAAAGCTGTGTCTTTGATCACTAATGTGTTATCCAGGAAGTTATAATGACTATTGAAAAGCGTCTCTGGATGTGGCCGTGGTGGTCTATGTTCATAATCCTGGCACTTAGTACTTGACAGGGCAAGGAGAAGGGATGTTGCATATCTTGTATTTTAATTAGCTTCATATAAAAGAGTAAAGATATTTTTAAAATACAGCCTTTGATCCTGGAAGAAAGTAGGCAAATCAGTTGGAACTGTTTGTGCATCCTATTTCTAACCTGTGTTGTTAGAAATGTGTTTGAGAGCCAGGTATGGTGGGGGGGGGGGTACACACGCATCATTCCATCTTCAGAGGAGGTGGAGGCTGACGATCACTTGTTCGTGGTTACTTTAAGCAAAGGTACAAAACCCTGTTTCAAAAAAACGAAAAAAGATGATGTAGTTCAAGTAGCTGAGCACTTGGCTTAGCATGTAGAAGGAGTTTCACAAAAAGAAAAGAAAGGAAATATTTTTTTCTATCATCTTATCAAAGTAAAGATACTAAGAAATGACCACATCAAAACACCAGAGCAATGAAGTCTCAACGTTGTTGTTAAACATGTATACATTTATTAAAAAGCCTTTCTAATGATGTGTAGGAAATATCACATGTATGCTCAATTGTAAATCTTACATTCTTGTGTAACATCTACTATTACGGTTTTATCTCAATGGACATCCTTACAGCTGCGAGAGTTTGACCTTTGGGTTTCTCTGTCCCCCTACTGTTCAGTAAGTTCCAAGTACTTGTATTGGGATTATCTGGTTTTGCCTAATGTTTTGGCATCATTTTGGGTAGTGTGTAGGCTTCCTGGCTTGTGGTTTATGGAGTGTTTGTTTGGTAGTATTCATGTGGTACCTCCAACAGAGTTGGCTTTTAATGAGGCAGAAGGCATGGGGAATCAGAAGAGGCATTGCCAGTGTTACAGAGTGTGAGGTCACATTAAATGACAGACACTAGGGTTTCAAGTAGATGAGGGACAATTGTGCCTTTTAAAGTGGAGGAATGCTTGCACATTTTCAAGGATGACATCCAGTGAAAACGAAAGGATTACTTTGGCTGTGGCTAATAGTTCTTTCAGGAACAATGTTTCTTTAGATGTTGCTTCTTAGGGAAGTAGGATGGTTTAAAAATTTCATGAATGATTAAAAGACTAATCGGAAAATGAAGCAGTTGTACTTTGTCTTTATAGCATTTTGCTGCAAACATGTAGTAAGTGGAAACTTTTGAGTCTATGACAATTTTTTTTTTATCTGACTGTAATGTAATACTTGTAATTTGGCTTCTTAAACAAATTCACATTTTTCTGTTATAGTACAAACTGAATTTCTTTTTTTGAAGTAAAGTACCTTTAGGTACTATAGCATAGCTGTAGCTATGCTCTTGTTAAGTAGATAACAAAGAATAGCATCTTTGAGAAGATAAATGTCATGAATGTCCAAAGTAGTTTATTGGATTAGTGGAAAAGAAGGTCAGTAATTGCATAGATTTCAATAAGCTGTAAAATAGTAATCTCCCTGCTGTTGATAATATTACAACACATGCATTTTTATTTTTGACTATTTCATTATAGCAGAATCACTTTGTAAAATGTTTATATATGCATGTGTGGATATTTATATGTAGAGGGGGGCATATGAGAAGTCTGGTTGTCCATACTGATATGTAAGATCGCTTGGGATTGTGTACATTTCTGAAAAATAGCAGAATATTCTGTTTTTCACCCTGGGTTTTTATGTTCTTCAGGGCCCCCCAGAATTTCCACAGCACACACCTGGACCTGTGCCCAACAGTTTCAGCCAGCCCCCCCGACTTCCTCTGCAGGACCAGTGGAGAGCCCCACCCCCACCCCAGGATCGAGACCCTTTCTTCTTGGGAGGTGCGTAGGGAAGGGTGACTGGACAGGACTGCATGCAGAAGCTGTATTAGGTGATACACCTGAGCAGTTCCTAATAATGCTGAGTTCACGCCCAATTGGAGACGTTGTTCGTAGGTTCAGGGCTCACTGTACAGTGGTCTTGCCCATCTGATGTGAACCTTGGACAAGGTTGGTATCTGAAATGTGACACTCTTGCAGAGGAGGAAAGTTTTCATAGAAACTGGTCTACAAAGCAACCTAGAAATAAAGAGGTCAAATCTAGAATTATTTCTTAAGTATAATCTTCCAATATTTGCCAGTTGTGTTCACAGACACTTTCAAAATGACTTGCCGTAAGACACATGTGGTCTTTCTAATTTGCAGTTAATGCTCTTTTACTCTCCAGTTTCAGGTGAACCGAGGTTCCCCAGTCATCTTTTCTTGGAACAGCGAAGTCCTCCTCCACCGCCGCCTCCTCCCACACTACTGAACAGCAGCCACCCTGTTCCTGCTCAGAACCCCTTACCATTCACTCAGCCGGGACCAGCATTCAATCAGCAAGGACAGCAGCCAGTGTTCCCGAGAGAAAGGCCCGTAAGGCCAGCCTTGCAGCCCCCAGGTCCAGTGGGGATCCTGCACTTTAGCCAGCCAGGGTCAGCAGCCTCTCGGCCTTTCATTCCTCCTAGACAGCCGTTTCTGCCCAGCCCTGGACAGCCCTTCCTGCCCTCACATGCGCAGCCCAGCCTGCAGGTGTGTAATACAAGCTACCCTGAGGAAAACCAGGTGCATGTGCCTCTGAGGCTTTGAGTTGCATGACCATGGAACCATTCCAGTGCACTAGTTTGTAGTTGTTTAGAGTTATCTTCATCACAGATAACTTCCTTGAAGATTTCATTATCTAATACTAGGAGATATGGAATAAATGATTGTCATTTGGGGAAAATTGAAAAAAATCACTATTAGAGTTTTTTGTTTTTTGTTTTCTTTTTCTTTTCTTTTCTTTTTTTCTTTTTCTTTCTTTCTTTTTTTTTTTTTGTTGGTTGTGGGGCTGAACTCTGGGCCTGGGCGCTGTTCCCCAGCTCTTCAGTTGTAGACCAACATTCTACCACTTGAGCCTCAGCCCCACTTCTGGCTTTCTCTGATTATGTGGTGCTGAGGAATCGAACCCAGGGCCTCATGTATGCAAGGCAAGCACTCTACCACTGAGCCACCTTCCCAGCGCCTCATTTATTTTATTTATTTATTTACTTATTTATTTATTTGGGTCTGGTCGTGAGGCCTGAACTCTGGGCCTGGGCGCTGTCCCTCAGCTCTTCAGCTCAAGGCTAGCGCTCTACCACTTGAGCCACAGCGTCACTTCCAGCTTTTTTCTTTTTGCTTATGTGGTGCTGAGGAATCGAACCCAGGGCCTCAGGCATGCAAGGCAAGCGTTCTACCACTGAGCCACCTTCCCAGCCCTCAATTTTTGTTTTTAAAGGATGCACTCCTAATAAAATCAAGACATGTTTTGGTACTGTATTTGTTTGCCTTTGTGAGATTACTTAAAAGGCGTACCTATGTAAATAGAATACTTGGCCAGATTATTCTGCAGTGTACAGTGAAATGACCTTTCTCTGTGGGAGGTAAACAATCTTGCTCTCCACTTAGTATCTGACAGACTTGTGTGCCCTCTGCTGGTCAGTGTGCCTCCTGGGCTGGAGTGAACGCCTTCCTCTCTTACACCATTCTTCTTGTATTTAAATTACAGTTGAAGGGTACAGTGGTGGTGCACTTGAGTCAGCACTGCCGGAAAATAGATAGGAACATAGGAATCTAAGCCACAACAGGTAAATGGCTTTGATACAGAGTGTTAACAGAGAGTTAAGAATAGGGTTTTGCTGTTGTTGTCATTGTTGTGTTGTTTAAAGTTTTACTTTGTTATTTTGTCAGTCTTAGGGCTTGAACTCCAGGTTGTGTCCTTAGCTGGATCACTACCATTTGAGCCATGCCTCTACTTCTCATTAAATAAGTGTTTTTCCAAGTTCTTTTTATTAAAAATACAATCTTCACTGAGACATGGTAAAATATAGTTAAGTTTAAGAACAGGGAATTAAGCCATCCCATTACCTTGAAGTAGACACTACTGAACACGTGGGTGCATATGTTTTCAGTCTTGGGGCAGTATGCCCTCACACTCGTGCTTTTCTCCCTGGGTAATTTGTCAGCTGTTGTCTTTCACTATGTCCAGCGAGCCCCCTGTGGGAGTTGCCTTTCCTGTGTCACAGAGGTTCCCTTGGGGTTCGGTTCTGCTACTCGTGTCCTAGGGCTGGGAGGGATGTTCTTGAGACTGTGTGTTTATTCACATCAATAGTGAGTTCCTTTAGATAGATTCTTTCTGAACAGAAAAGGCTTAGGACAAACAGAATGTAAGTTAGAGTTGGTTTATCACTACACACGAGAGTAGTTATCACCTTCTTCAGTCTGAAGTGTGAAGTGTCCTCTGTTGAGGCTTTTGAGCAGAATGTTGGATTGGGCGACACTGAAATCTGTCTGTCATCTGTTGCTTTTCTGTTTTGGAATGAAAGGGGCCTCTGCACCCTCCATTGCCACCTCCTCATCAGCCGCAGCCCCAGCAGCCCCAGCAGCATCAACACCAGCCTCCACACCAGCCCCCGCTGCAGCCACCACACCAGCCCCCTCCACCGCACCAGCCCCCTCCGACGCACCAGCCTCCTCCACAGCACCACCATCACCTCTCTGCTCCCCCGCCTCCCTTGATGCCCATGTCTCAGCCACAGTTCCGGCCGCACGTGCAGACTGCCCAGCCTCAGCCCAACAGCAGTCGGATGCAGTGTGCCCCACGCCAGGGCCTGCGCCACGTAAGTACCAGCATCCTTACTGTCTTCACCTGTGGAAGTAAGGGCCTAACTTCCACCTTGATTTACATTAACCAGTGTGCTGTACATCTTCTGAAGTGAATTTGGCATATCCGTCCTAGATAATTATGTCATGATAGCTGCTCATAGACATGTAACTTGAGTAAGTGCTTTGGGATGATTGCCATTGTACCCTTGCCTGTGGCATAATTTTATTGTTATTATTAAGGTGTTGTACCAGAAAGGTTATCAATTTCATAAGTCTGGTAACGAGTATACTACTTTTTTCTGGAGTCACCTCTTCCTTTGCTTTCCCTCAGTATCCCTCTTCTGTCCCTGCACACAGGTTACATAGTTCATTTTCCACATAATAGTATACGAATAGCATGATTGCATTTGCTCCTCCTTCCTCCTTCTCTTTCTGTGTCGCCTTCCCCTATTCTCCCTAAAAAGCAAACAAAGCAAAACCTGCACCACCACTAACTAGTGGCTTGCCTTTTGACACATAGATTGTTACTGTCTCTTTGGATACTGAATAAATAAATGAATTCAGGAAACATTTGCTGACTGTCCTGCTCAGGCACTGTTCAAGTTCCTAGACATACAACAGAGAACAGAGGAGACAGAATTCTGCCTTTGAGGAGCTTGCATTCAGTTGTAGCAGAATAACGTGTCTATTTGTGGGGTGCCTTCCCAGGTACCACCAGCAAATAAATATGGGGCTTATTATATGTTGAAGGAAAGTAGGAAGTAATATATTGCTGTGAAAATAGAAGGGCAGTGGTCATTACCTTGTCCTCCATTAAATAACTAATTTTAATCTTAGGAAAAATTAGTTCAGGATTGTTCCATCGTTACAGATCTCAGCTGTAAGGGCTGTCCTTTGTTACTCCTGAGCCTTAGACATGTCACTAGCCTGCTTTATACCTCAGTTTTCTTAATGCCCTCCTCTTTGTCTTAAGGAATGCTGTTGGGTAATAGCAGATAGCTCTTGCCAGCCTTGTCCTGCATAGGGACCTCAGGGATTGGAACTCCACCCCCACTGTCTCATGCATCTTAAACACCTCGAGCATCTTCAAGATGAAAGTGACTGAGATTCTTTCTTGGATAGAATCTGGTTGTGCCTGTGGCTTCCAAGAAAACTTTTTTAGTAGGATCTTGACTTAGGGGCTGGGGGTTTAGCCCAGCAGAAGGGCGCCCGCCTGGCGCGCGCAAGGCCCTGGGTTCGGTCCTCAGCCCTGGGGAGAAAAAAAAAAGACAAAAAATAGCTACAATAGGATCTTGACTTAATGTATGGTTTCTCTACTATTCTGCCTTGAATAAGGAGTGGAAATGGTGTGCCATTGATCTGGTTGATTTGAGGCAAATAGAGTGCCTTTTGGCTTTCCTACTAAAACCGCTACAGAAAGTCATCTATATGATTTCTGTAACCAGGAGCCTGACTCTAGGCAAACATAGTACATTTACTGGCTCATGTCCTTGGCATTAGGGTATGCATCAGTATTTATGCATCTAAGAAAGTGTTTGCCGAGGAAAAAAGTATGTGACCCTGCAAAAGAGAAGTTGGTTACCATTGAGAAAGAATGACCGTACTTTCTCTTTGTGATGTGCCTTGTTACGTACTGTCCACCAAGTGTCCACTTGTAATTAGGGTTCTTTCCTTCCTGTGACAGAATGCAGCCTCTCAGAATGTAACCAAACGGCCCATGCAGCAGATGCAGCCCACAGCTCCCAGAAACAGTAATTTGCGCGAATTACCCATAGCACCATCGCACGTTATGGAAATGAGCAGCAGTCGGTGCTCCTCCACGCCTGCGGCTCAGGTGAAGCCCATGGTCAGCACATCCCCACCCTCCCGGGCCTCCGTGACCTCCAGGAGCTCACAGGGAAAGACAGAAGCCAAGGTCAAGCCTATTAGCCCTGGGGCTCAACCAAAGGAAGAAGCAAAAGCAGAACCCGAGGTAGGACATTTCCCTTACTAAGAAGTCCTTACTCTCAGACAGAAAACTTACCTCCCAGCTTTCTCATCTGCATGTTCTTTGTAAATTCCTGCTACCTTTCTTTCTAAGTAAGTTCTTCTAGCCTGATAGCAGTGTTTGTAAAAATAAGCTGTAGTCTCTTGCTGGTTTACAATGTTGGATTTTATGTATTGACACAATTGTTGTTTATGTTACACAGAATCAGCATATACCAGGCTTACAGATGTTTTTCTTAAAGGGACCAAGTAGCATCCAAATAGTTTAGGTCTTTTAGTCTAAACTGTCATAATGACTCAACTTTGCCATGTGGCACAAGCAGTTTATAAATAATTCTCATATGAGACTTTCCTGTGTTCCAGTAAAACTTTAGGTACAGAGTCAGCTGGTGGGCGTGATTTGGCTATGGTCTGTGGACTGGGCTGTAGACTACAGGGTGTGAGCTGTAGCCTTTGTGGGGACAGGGACTGTGGGCCTCAGATCCGTGGTGTGCTTTGGTCAGTCTCTAAGTATTCTTTTTAGTTTTACAAGGCAGACTCCTAGAAGGTGCCATCACTTTTACTGTTGGTCTTCAAGATTATAGGGGATCTGGTTTGTTGTGAATATCACTTGGGGCTTGAACTCTGGGCCTGGGCGCTGTCCCTCAGCTCAAGGCCAACGCTCCACCACTTGAGCCCCCGTGCCACTTCAGTTTTCTGGTGGTTCATTGGAGATAAGAGTCTCACAGGCTTTCTTTCCTGCCTGGGCTGGCTTTGAACCACTATCTCAGATCTCAGCCTCCTGAGTAGCTATATTATAGGTATGAACCATTGGCACCCAGTATGTTTCACTTTTTAACCTATTAAATGAGGGTAAACATGGCCCAGACTGGTACAAAGAAGTTAATTGTATCTATATTAGCTGAATTCACATAGGATGGAATGAAGTGGCCTGGTGAAAAGTGTACTCAGAGAAGAATTTAGGCAAGTTGTGAGTTGTTAATATTAGAAACCAGTCAACCTTGGTTTTAGCTTTTACATTTTTTTTTTTGTATTTTTTCCTTCACACTTTTTTTTTCTGTTAAATTGCTATAGCAATTGTAATGCTACCAAATCAACACTATAAAGTCAAAACATTAAGGTACATGTAATAAGCTTGTATTTTTAAAAAGGGGGAGGAATGATGTGTCTTTACAATCAATCTGAAAAAAAATGTAGATTTACAAATTGAGCTGGCTAGTTTATAAAAAAAATTCTTTGTTAAAAATTTAATGGTGCTTTTAGTTTATATAACTAGATTAGAACTCATATATGTAAGCTGATTTGGTTAAAAGAATGTGAAGTCCCATACACTTCTTGTGAATAATATTGGGCTGAATAGTAAGAGAAATGGACCTTCCAGGCATATTACTACCACATCTATTCCTTTGTGTTGGTTAATAGATGTCTTAAGAATTCTTCTGTAGAGCTACTTTTATAGAGATACTGTGCTTGGCTTTTGGCAGTAATAGAGTTTGCAGCAAACTCAGGGTCTTGAACTAGCTAAGCTGCTGGGCAATGCCTCCAGTCCTATTTTCAGTGTTTCTTTTGAGAGAGAATCTTATGATTCCAACAGTCTCAACCTTCCAAGCAGCTAGGATTTACAGGTGTGAGCCGTCAGTGCCTTGCTTTACAGATAGATGGTTTCTGAACATGAAATGATCCTTTTGCAAATCCCATGAATAACAAGTTTTTCTAAAGTATTTCTGTTAATATTCCTGAACATATTTAACCTTTCCTGAATGCTTGGAGAGAGAACTAATGAGTAATGATAACGCTTGTGTTTGGAGGCAGTGCATCTGGGTCCCATAGTGTATGCGCAGCTGTCTGCCTGAACTCTGTGTATGCTTCTCTGCGATTGAGGTGTGTCTTTGTATCTTCTCTCACGTCACTTCTTACTCAGTAAGGGTGTTTTCCCGGATGATAGAAAGCCCCTCACCTGCCTTCACGTGTTCTTGTGAATCTGCCCTGGTCTTTGAAATTTAATAACTGAGCCTGGTAGATTTACCCCTGTGTTGACCAGCACACCTATGAGGGCCCCAAAGGGTACCTTCTCTATACTCCCTTTCAAGGGGACTCTTCACTGTGTGCTTACTTACATTTCCAGTGTTCTCCGAATGTTTAAGGTTTGTTCAGGGCAGATAAGATTTGTGAATAGGTGAATTCTAAGTAGATAAAATCTATAATACTTTTTTTTTGGGGGGGGGCATGTGACTAGGTGATTTTTATAGTTAACTCATTTTTATAAAGTTAACTATTTTTTAAATGTTTTTTTAACCGTTTTTAAAAATGGTTAACTTTTTAAAATATAAACTTTTTTTTTTTTTTTGTCGGTTGTGGGCCTGAACTCTGGGCCTGGGCACTGTCCCTCAGCTCTTCAGCTCAAGGTTAGCCCTCTACCACTTGAGCCACAGCGCCACTTCTGGCTTTTTCTGCTTATGTGGTGCTGAAGAATCAAACCCAGGGCCTCATGCGTGCAAGGCAAGCACTCTACCACTGAGCCACCTTCCCAGTCCAAATATAAACTTTTAAAATATAAACTTTCCTTGTGTGGTTTCCACAAAACCATTGTACTCTATTTTTTTTTTTTTTTTTTTTTTGGTCAGTCATGGGGCCTGAACTCTGAGCCTGGGCTCTGTCCCTTAGCTCTTCAGCTCAAGGCTAGCGCTCTGCCACTTGAGCCACAGTGCCACTTCCAGCTTTTTCTGCTTATGCTGAGGAATCGAATCCAGGGCCTCATGCATGTGAGGCAAGCACTCTACCACTGAGCCACCTTCCCAGCCCACCATTATACTTTTAAAAAATTTACTTTATTGTTATTATAAAGGTGACATGCACAAGGATTATAATAACATGACTCAGGTAATGAGTACATTTCCTTTGGTACTGTGTATTCCCCTCCCTCACTCTCTCCTAGGTTTCTCTCCTACTGTTTCCACCCTCGAGTTGTATAGGTCACTTTATCAGTGTTCAATGAGCTCCACTGCTGCACTTTTTCACCCTTTGGCCATTGAGTTCTGGACCTTTCCCCCACCATCCCGAAGATATACACATGAATATATACATAAAGAAAAGAAGGGCTGGGAATGTGGCTTAGTGGTTGAGTGCTTGCCTAGCTAGCATGCTTGAAGCCGTGGGTTTGATTGCTCAGTACCACATAAACAGAAAAAGTTGGAAGTGGCGTTGTGGGTCAAGTGGTAAAGTTCTACCCTTTAGCAAAAAGTGCTCAGGGACAGTGCTTAGTCCCTGAGTTAAAGCCCCAGGTCTGGCAAAAAAAAAAAAAAAAGAATTATCAACAGAATTTTTTTTTAGAGGCAATCTCCCTACCTTGGAGTTTGTTTTGTTTGATGTGTGTGTGTGTGTGTGTGTGTATGATTTATATATATGATTTTATATAATAAATGTAAGGAGGCAGGTAGGCTTTGTGCCTTTGTGTGTCTCTGCTGAGAATGTCCTCTTGGACCATTTGGACTTTTCAAGAATGTTTTGATAAGACACTGAGAGTGGTCTGGTGCTGGAATATTCTGGGCATTCCTTCTAAACCATTAATATTCCAATACTGCAATTGGCAACATTTTGATTCTGAGGAGGGTGCCCGAGTTCAAGGTCAGAGAGATTGACTTGTGCTGTTCATTATAGCCAATTATTCTGTGACAAATGAGTTTGAGATCAGGCTGAAAATTCTCTACGAAAAATCAATAGTTCTCATCAGGGCCTTTCAGGACATTTACACCCCACCTTTTGTTGGTTTGTCAGGGAAGAGCCAGATAAAACCCATGTGACGGTGGGGCCTTGCTCCTGTTGCCATTCCTATTTGAAACATTTTGATATCTTAAATGGATAGTTTAATTGGTTTCAAACTTGTAAATTAGTGGAAATTTGCATTATTTCGTTGCTGGTATGCTGATAAGGGTTTCCAAATTAGCTTTAACTAGTTTTTTCCCCCTTCCCAGAGGAAGGAATTATACTTAGCCTTTAGGAAGATTTTGAAGGCCTTTCAAATACTAAATTGAAAGGTTTGTGGGTTTAAGTCTCTGCTTAGTTTGTCCAAACAGATTGATCTTCTTGCTACATGTAGCAAGGTAAAATTGTGCATTTTTTATTTCAGTTTCCTGATGAAGATGAAGAAACAAGGTTATATCGCTTAAAGATAGAAGAGCAGAAGCGCCTGAGAGAAGAAATCTTGAAACAGAAGGAGCTACGACGACAGCAGCAGGCTGGTGCCAGGAAGAAGGAGCTGCTGCAGAGACTTGCACAGCAGCAGCAGCAGCAGCAACAACTGTATGCTCCACAGGCTCCCATGGAGCAAGAGGAGCAGGCGGCCGCACCCTCACCCACCAATGGTAACCCCCTGCTGCCTTTTCCAGGTGCCCAGGGCAGGCAGAATGTGAAAACGAGACTTCTTGTTAAAAACCAAGATGTTACCATTGCAAATGTTCAGCCGAAGACATCAGACTTTGCCCCATGCGGTGCTAATGCGCAGTATCCAGGACAGCAGATGAAACCACTGAAGCAGTTGAGGCCTGCTAGAACAGTCCCTCAGAGTCAGGCCCAGTCGCCGCACAGAGTACTCCAGATCAAACCTGTGGACGTGGAGGAGCAGCTCCCCCAACAGGTGCCCCGAGCAGCACCCCTCCAAGGCCGGCCACAGGACATGAAGCCAGGTGTGAAGAGGACTGTCATGCACAGGGCCGGTGGCGGTGGTGGAGACGGACCGCATGTCAGCTCCAAAGTCAGGGTGATCACGTTGTCAGGGGGGGTAAGTGGACAAGTTTTTATGTGCGTCTCTTCACCTGTTTGCTTAGACGGTCCTGCTTCCCACAGAAAAAGAGTTAAAAACAGGCTGTGTGAAAAATCATGTAGACTACCCTTTATTCTTGGAAGGTGGTATCCTAATTGTTATTTAATTCTGGTTCACTCTGGAACCCACATTATTTCTGTTGTCTCTTGAGTCTTACTGAAAGGCCGGTGTGTCATACTACAGTTATATATTTCCTAGTTTTACCTTTTTGTAGATTGTTTATGATAAGTTGTGATGAACAAATCTGTGGTAACAAATTCAACAAACTTGAACTATCGTGTGTGTTGTAGAAATAAAATTGCCTTTTACACAAAGCACATAATCTGTGGTGTGTAGAATTAGATCCAGTGAGCCCCCAGAGGCAGAGTGAACAGAGTGGCAGGGTAGCGTGCACACGCGAGTGTGGGTGTGTGTGCGTGCGTGCGCGTGTGTGTAGTTCCACTTTTAGGCAGCGTTGTCTGAAGCCTACCTTTTTTTCTTTCAAGGAGTAACAAAATCCTACATGGGAGCATGTGTGGTTTTGTCACATGCTTGTGATGGGAGTATGCTTGTCTGTGCCTCGTTCCTTTCTTCATCATAGCACCATTTTAGCTCATGTTCATAAGGCACACAAATTGTGGGTTTCTGCTGTAGTTCAGGCAAGTTCAGCTCTCTAAAATAATAAATCATTGCAGATAGATCCCATTTCCCCAGCAAGGTGGGGTACAGAGTACTTGCTGCCTTGTCCTGCCAGATAATCTTACTTAGTAACTTAGTGAGTTACTTAGTAAGTAACTCACATCTTTTGCCCTAATTACAATGAATTCTGCAACAAGGAATACATGTTCGTGTGTTGTGTGCAGATTCCACTATAAATTGAGGAAGAAAGAGGAACACTGTAAAGAGGAGCTTTTAGATGAAGCCAGCTAGTAGAGATTGCCCTAAAACACAAAAGAATAACCTTGTTAATTCTAATTTTGGTCATACCAATACATAATCTTAATAAGGTAATAATAGAGCAAATGTAAAGGATATAAAATATGTACATGTCTAAACTTACTTGAAGTCATCTCTCTGTATTCTGCGTGATTCAGCACAGAGGTAGGAAGTACCTTAAGCCCGTGTTCTGGGGCCTCTGCTTTGGCCCATAAGAAATGGCCTAGTCGTGAAGATGTCTGGGCAACTGGTCACTTGGCTGCATGAACCATTGTTCACCAGTGGGGTGAGCACCCATCTCCTCTGGGTCTGGGTGTGGGGCTTTGTGTCAGGGCACCCTCCTTTGAGTGTGAGGGAGGAAGAAGTAGCGGCCTGAGAGCAGCCGTCTAGTGTGTGCTCCAAGAAAAGGAGAGCAGACATTTTGTCGATCAGGGTAATGAAAATTTTAGAAAATTTTAGAAATTTGGCAGCCAATGAAGCCAACAGTCCTTTGTTCTTTGGGCCGCATAGAGAAGTCTGAGAGCCACGGGATGCCCTGGCAGGAAAGCCAGCTGTCCAGTCAGAATTCTCTTGTATTTCATCTTTTAAAAGCCTGTCATAATGATGCCTCTGAAAGTCCCCATTTGCACTGGGGGAGCTCACTTTGCAAAGTTAGACTGAATGTGTGGCTTCTCACCGTCTCAGCAGGTACTCCTGGATTTTCTCTAGGGAGGCAGTACATATTAACCCCGTCTCCTTCGTGAGCTTTACTTCGTTGTATCTTCAGTTAAAGAGAAGTTGTACGAGCGGCGTGAGGAGCTCCTGGTGCCTTAACCGTCTCACCTGGTGTTTACATCTGACATGTGTGCTGTTCTCTCCTTTTGCCCTTACACACAAATGCACACATGTTTTCCTAGACTGTGCTCGAGTAGGTGGGCAGGCAGAGGACCTGTGCTACAGAACCACACTGGAGTTGCTGTTTGTCAGGGCCCGGAAGCCCCACCCCAGCACAGGACTGTTGCCTAAGGCAGTTGGTGCGGCCAGGGCCAGCCTGGCTTGCCCTGTTTCTGATCCCCTCCAGTCTGGATCCGTTCTCAACCTTTTATTGTGTTTTTTGCCCTTGACATTTTGAAAGAGCAGATGCTTGTGTACTTTAGGTTTTCCTTTTGCTCCCCTTGACCAGTTTTAGGTGTGTGTGTTTGGCCAGATGGCTACAGAAAGGATATGGTACCGGCCTCCGTGTGCCAGGCCGGTGCCTTGTCCAGGTTTGCCAAGAGGACTGTCCCTTCAGTGGTTGAGGGAGGTGTGCTGTGACTGTGAGCACCCCTCGTCCACACTCCTGCCTTCAGCTTGCCGGGGCCCATACTCCTTCCAAGCTTACCAGCCGCTGGGCTCTTACTGTGCCAGTCTGGTCTTCTTACTCTGTTTTATTCAGAGGACTACACTGTCCTTAATGACTGGAGTGGCCCGCCAGCCTCTGCCTGCTGGCACTGCATCCTTTCACATCCAACTTGCCTGTGAGCCAAGTTGCTCCTGTGCAGCCTGTCCCTTCTCTGCCTAGCCCTGGGACCAGCTGCCTCTTGGAGGCTCCAGCTCCCTCTAGTGGGAGCTGTGTGCATCAATGTCCAGTGCTGTGACAAACTGAGGTGATGAACTTGGAAGGTTTATTTCATGGGTTCTGTACACGGCCCCTAGCCTCATCTCTCTGTCCGTGGTGGCATCATGCATAGTGGTGAACAGCTGGAAGGAAGGCATGCGGGTGGAGGAGGGAGCCAGCTTCTCAGTAGCCCCTTAGAACACACTGCTGCTAACTACTTTCCTTCCACCAGGCCTCACCTCCTGAGGCCCTACCACTTCCTAACACCCACGGCTGGGGACCATGCCTTCACACACGACCTTCGGAGGGCCTCTGAGACCCAGAGCATCATTTCTCTCAGCAGAATTCCCCTCCCTCGCTCCTTCCCCTCCTTTCCTTCTGAATTGCAAAGCGCCAGGGGTCCTGCGCTCCGTGGATTGTTTTGTCTGTTACTGTGAACCTGGTCATGGCGTGAGTCTTGGTCATTGGTATTTATAGATGCAGAGGGCTTGTGAAACCTTGTGCTTTGTCAGTGAGCAAAATGCAGAGCAGCTAATGGTGAAGGAAAGTTCTTGGGGCCTTTTCCTACCACCTGTTGAGTAAACAGCCTGTGTTCTGGGTTCAGTCCCACATTCCTCAGTCACCTAAGGAAGAAGTGTTGGTACCAACCCTGGTGAGGTGTGTTCATAATCTACGGGACAGCTGTGTCCTTAGGTATCAAAACAAATAATCTAGGTTGAGGCAGTCTGCATTGGTATTGCTTGAGCTGATACCAAAGTAGGAACCTGTCGTTTGTTGAGTTCTATAATGAACCCAAGTGGGTATGGGCTATGAGTATACAATAAATAGGTAAAAACAGAGGAGATGATGTGTGAGTAGTGTAGATTCTGAATGGAGAGGAAGAGATGACTGGGTCAGGAAGGAGACAGGGTTGGAAGGGGCTTTCCAGGAAGAAAGCGGAGGCCCCTGCGGCTGCCTGCAGTAGTTCTCAATTGAAGAGAGGCAACTTGACTGAGGTACCTGGGGAGGTCTGGAGCTAGGCCCTCACAGCAGCGCTGGGTCATTGTTAGAACAGTGCCAAGCCCCTGGAAAGTTCTGGCAGACGGATCATGGGGACTGAGTCAGACGCCCGCAGTGTGTGAGTTAGTCTATTCTTGTTTTTAGGAGACAAAAGATTTATGACAGTTATTATTTTCAGGCCTTCTTTTAAGTTTTAACCTGAATGTTAGTATGCAGAAAGACTACTGAGCATTGAGTTTGGAGGCAAAGAGAAACATTCATCCATTTTTATCCTTCTGTCCTGCAAATCTGCAAATCATCTTAACATTTTGGGGCAACTAAAAAGAAGTTTGGGGCTGTAGTGCCTTGGCAGTTTATGTATGCTAGGTTGGGATTTGCTACTTTGTGCCCTTGTGCTCGCTTCTCTGTGCCACGTTTGCAGCCTGGGGCCCTGTGGGCTGGCGCTGTGTCTTACAGCCCAGCTCTGCAGGGCTTCTGGCACCCAGCACATTACACGCCCTCCACCCTTGCCGCTGTCTGCAGACTTCGGACTCCTGCTTACTGCTGCTGCTTTGAAGGGACTGTGACCTCCCGTTCCATGTTTGTCTATAGAATTGGGGTCACGTTCAAGGACGTTATAAGTACTTGAGAAATCAGGTATTAAGCTAACAACATCCACATGGTTCACCATTTCTTCTGTCAAAGCAGCAGAGGGAGAGACTTCTGAGGATGAGAATAATGGTTATTTCTGTAGACCTTCATATGAAGAAGGAAGTGAGCAAAACCTGGGGGAAGAAAAACAAGTAACATTAATTTTTATTAGTAATTACTTCTGCCATGCTGTCATGCAAAAAAAAAAGTGTTTCCTCCTCAGATTGCCTTCTTTGAATTGTGGCATTCCTGGGACTGAGTTAAACAGCCTGTTGCCTTCTGTTTGGAAGTATGAAGGACAGGGCTGCGGATAGAGTTCTGGGAGACCAGTTGTGAAGGGAAACTGAGGGGGAGGGAGGGCCGAGGCAGCCAAGTTGGTGCAGGGCAGGCCTCTGTGGTGCACAGTCCCCTCAGACCACTTCAGCAGGCCCAGTGGGTAGGGAGAGCTGGAGTAGGCAGGCCTCCGAAGCCTCCTGGAGCCCCTCTCACCCATGAGTGAAGGCCGTGGTTGCCAGGTGCAGGCATTGTGCTGGTAACCTCCGTGTGTGGAGGGCCCACCGTTAAACTCCTGGTGATCCTTTTTCTTTTTGAGGGGAAAGTTATACTTTACAGATTGAAAAGTCCTGGGCTGTCAGATCCCCGCAGAGACTCAGACTTTGGTTTGTTCCTCCAGAAACCACTGAACTTTGCTTTTTCTCATACCTAACTAAGCTCAGAAAGGCAGATTGTTACAGGAGCAAGCAGGGTTCTGTCTGTGCTGTAAGATCAGACAGATGTGCAGAGGAGCCTTTTCCCTCTGAAGCCCAGCAGTTAGGAGCCCATCTGCCTCATGAATTTGGCTCCTGCGTGGACTGTGATAGGCAGAGGGACAGATAGAGGCAAGATGGCATTGTAGCTTTCCATTGTGTCTGTGTTGGCATGCTTGCCGTGATTCAGAGAATAAGCAAGCATTCCCTGCTGAAGAGTCTTCCCATCCCGCCCAGAGGCGTGGGTAGAGAGCTGGCCTGGGACCTTGGAGAGAGCTAGTTTCCTTCCCCTTAACTCAGCCAACCGCAGCAAGAAAAGAGAGAAACGTTAAATGTGTTTGTGTTTGGAAACGTGATGTGGCTTGCATATCATTTCCTGCGCAGATTCTGGCCGAGCGTCACAGAGATGGCCAGGATAGGCCCCGCATTGTTGTGGCTAATGGAAACCTGTGCGGTGAGCGCTGTGGTTGTGTGATCAGCAGACTGCGGTGACAGGGAAGTGTGGCGTTATCGGACGGGGAATTCACGAGAGGCTGCCCTGGGACACCACACCACTGTCCTCTGTGTGTCCGACAATGTTATCTGTCCTCAGCACCGAGTATCAAATGTCTGCCATGAGTGCAGAAATTAACTTAATGTCACCTGAAGACATGCAATTAATCTTTTAGAGGTTTTCATAATACCTTTACAGAAAGAGTTGCCAGTTTGGCGGATTTGGATTTTGGGGTTTAGAAGAAGATAAGGAAAATTAATTTTTCATCAGGGTTAATACAAGCTAGCAGGGCCATAAAGGCTGAGGAAAATGGTTGGGGAATTTGTCAAGTGTTGTCACTCCAGAATAATGCTGCTTAATGCCTGATAGGTATAATCAAGGGTTGAGATTTCTATGGAGAGGGATTAATCAATTTGCTTGCTACTGAATGCAAGTCAGTGATATCACTCTTCGTGGGGTTTAAGAATGAAAATAAGATTTGATCTGTCAAATTGCAAGAAGCCCTGACAGTATCAATAGGCATTTTTATCTGTACATTTAAGCCATTTGTTATAAATAAATTTGTCCTGCTAATGTTGGTGGCTACCAACCTCATTTTTGTGATGATTAAGTTGATAAAAAGTATCCCCTGAGCTTACTTAAATTCAGATAGTGCTTTATAGACAGCAACAAAACAAAACAGAGGTCCAAAGAGACATTTCTGTTGTATTCATTAAAAGACAATTATTTGTGCGAAAAGCCAACCAGTATGTCTCAACTGTTGACTAAGGTTGGCCCAGTTTCTTTCCTCCCATCTATTTTGGAGAAAGTGGAAGATTATTAAAATCACAGCGACACACACTGCTGTGTCAGAACTAATTATGGGTTCTTTTATAGTGCTGTTGCATAGGTTTGGTTTGGTTCACATTCCGCTTTTTGTCTGTGACTGTACGGGCACTGCTGTGAAGGTGTGTTTGTTCTGGGTCACAACCTGTTAGCTTATGGACTGCCCATGTCCTAGAGTTAACTCAGGAGTTCACGGTGTTTCCCTATAGTTTAGTTTTTCGTTGTGCTAAACTGAAAGGCACTACTTGCTCTCAATTGGAATGAGAAATGAAATTGTCTGACAAAATAAAATAACTTGTTGGTTTGTATCGAAGCTTTCCTACTTGGCATACTCTTCAGTTAAAAGTCAGACCACACTGCCTAACCGCGATGTAGTTGAAATGATGTCATGCTTTATTTTTGTTTCAGTTCCTGTTTAAAGTGTGAGTGTAAGTAAGCTCCTTCTGAGGAGGGAGGCGGAGTGGGGTCATGCCTGTGGAAGCATTCTAAAAAGGCTAGGAAGGTCTCTGAAGATTTCCATGATAAAAAATGTTGTAAAATTAAAAAACATGGCGAGTTTCTTGTAAGAGCTGAGATGGTTGGTCCTTTTTTACCCTTCTTCAGTGTAACTGCGGTAATTCCTGAAGTTACGGTGTGCTGTGTTTTTGTTTAAATTTACTTTTGTTTCTCTTAAATGCTTTCATTTCTTAGCCTGGCTTCCTAGGGGCTGGCCTTGTGCTGCCTACCTCATTGTCCAGCGGTGATCAGAAAGAGCCTTCACTCAGGTCTCTGGTCTGTGCACAGCCCCGTGGCCGGTGACCTGTGGAGGCTGCTGCTCTTGCTCTTGCTCCCCACAGTCCCCTGTGTGCTGAGCGAGAGCTGTGTCTGGCCCTTCTGTGACTCTTGCCGTCCCAGAATTTCCTCATCGGGTCTCTGTTTTGTGGCCGATGCGCCGCTTGTTCCAAAGCAAGACCCGCAGGCTCTCAGGCCCTGTGGGACGGCCGCATTCGTGGCGCACTCTGGTCATCCCGTCAGTGAGTGCTCCTCCTGTGCTCCCCTGCCTGAAATGGTGGCTTGGGCAGTGGTACCCAGTTGTGTCCTTGTTTGGAAGACCAGACTTGGCACTTTTCTAACATTGCCATCGCCGCAAGTTATGCCCCCTTTGACAGTTTGGTTTTTTTGCAGTCGGTGTTTGTTTGCTTCAGAAGCTTTTCACTAAACGGGCCCCCTAAAGATAAGCGTGGAGGTTCTCATGGCCCGCTTTCTGTGAGTGAAAGAACACTTCAGACTGGAGCTATATGTGGTTGATAATACACTTCTGTAACACTAGTTACGCGGGGGTGCCACATCGGAAGGATCTGCTGAGGATGGGCCTCAGCAGACAATCCCAGCTCCGTGGAAGTAGGGAGATAGGACTGCAGTTTGAAGCCAGGATGGGCAAACTATTCGTGAGACCCTATCTCAACAGACAAGCTGGGTGTGGTGGCTCCCTGACCGGTGAGGGATTCTGCCACGGACTCAGGTGAAGCGCCCAGTTTGGTTTGGTTTGTGGGTGAGTTCTGCCTCATGGTTGGCACTGGGCAGACACTGACCCACACACTGCCTTGTTGGTTTCAGCAGGGAGGAGAGAGCGATGGCTTTTTCCATCCCGAGACCCAGGCCCAGCGGCTTCCTCAGCCTTCGGAAGTGAGACCGCAGCCCGCCCGCAAGGTGACGCTGACTAAGGGACCCCCCCAGCCACCCCCGCACCTGCCAGCGGGGCCGCACACGCACTCAGCTGTTCCTCCTGGGATCAAAAGCATCCAAGGCATTCACCCGGCCAAGAAGGTACTGCGTTCATTCCCCTGCCTCGGCAGTTGGCTGGCGGTAGCGAGATGGCTTCCCTGGCGTGTGGTGCGTGGCCCTTGGTGCTACTGACGTTAGCACGTGGTTCCTAGCCTACACGCAACTCCTCAGGCCCCTGAGCACGTGGTTCCTAGCCTACACGCAACTCCTCAGGCCCCTGAGCACGTGGTTCCTAGCCTACACGCAACTCCTCAGGCCCCTGAGCAAGAGGGTGCAGGTGGCGCTGCTGCCTCCCTGCTTAGATGTCCCACATGCAGAGCTGGGGCTCAGAGAGGGGAGACAGGCCCTGGAGCTGGAGTGACCTGTGGGCTGAGGGACGTCTCCCTTTTTGAGCTGTCAGGTGGGAAGCCTGGACACCCCGGCGTCTGTGCCCTGCGGAAGGCCCATCTTGTCGGGTGCGTGTGGAGCAGTGCCCCTCGGCTTCTAGGGAGAGGTGTACGTCCTCTTAGCTTCCAAGGACAACTGACCACAAAGCCTCCGGGAGCAGCAGCGCCCTCCCTGCCGAGGGTGAAGGAGGGTGGCGCGGGCGCTGCGCCTCTCGCAGGGGTCAGGAGAGCAGAGCACTGAGTCTGGGCACACGGCCTCGGCAGCTGTCGGTGAAGGGGAGTCCCGTGGGAAGTGCTGGCTCCAGGAGGCCTCCAGCCCTCGCGGCCTCAGGTGACCTGCCGGTGTGACGAGAGGACAGGACAGACACGCAGGACACACAGACTGGACATGCGCGCACACCCCAGTTCCTTTGCCCCACCCTCACTTTGCAGAGCCATGTCTCCTGCGTGAGCTACCGTGGCGGTGCATGTAGAAATCTGGTGCTCATATCGCCCTTGTTGCAGTCGGGGCAGAAACAGCTTGTTTGCTTCTAGTTTCCAGCTGGTGTCACTAGTAGCTTGTGTCACGTTTTCCAGAGTGTGACTCTGGGACCTGTCCCCGGTGTGACAGAGGAGTTTGCGAGAGTGGCTGTCACTTACTTACTGCAGGTGTCTGGGATGCCCCCTCACGCCTTGGTCTGTGGGTCTGAGCTCCCTGCGGCCTTCTTTCTTCCTCTGCCTACCTGTGAGGACTGGAGGCCGTTTTTGCTTGGCCTCCAATTAAGAACTGGAGGTAGGACCTCCAGGAATCTGGAACTCTAGCTCTTCTCTGCCTCTGTATTCTCCGTTAGCCTGGGCCTAGAAGCTGGACACAGTCTCTAGTGGTCTACAACTAGGAGACAGTGCAGGACTGTCAGCCACGGCCTCTTTTAAGGGTTCCTTAGGCAGTGGTTCTGAGTCTTGAGAGGCTTTGGAAAATGGTGCTTTGGGGTCCTGCCCATGACCAGCAAATTGTCTTGTGTGTGCGAATGTGTACACGGGTGGTATGCATATATGCATATGTGTACATGTGTGCATGCTCATGGCATGTGTATATGTATGGAGGTGTGCACACATACACAAGTGGGAGTGTGTGTGTGTGTGTGTGTGTGTGAGAGAGAGAGAGAGAGAGAGAAAGGGAGAGAGAGAGAGAGAAGCCTTTGGGGTGAGGGTAGCCAGCAGCTGGGTGTGACTGCCACAGAGGCTGACCTTGAGAATTGGGCTGGGAAACGTCAAATGGGAGCAGACACCCCGAAATGCTTTATGACTGCCAGATGGCTTTTGCACTGTGCCCATCAGGTGTGCACAGACCTGACCTGTGCTCTGGCGTGAGAAGTGTGGGCCTCAGGACTGTCAGGACAGCTCCGCAGCCGCCTGCAGTCCCCATAGACCTCACCGAAGGATGGTCCTCCTCGCATAGCTGCAGGGCTGGTCAGTTCTCCCCCAAACACCGGTCTCTGCTGTTAAAGCCTCCTCCACTCACGGACATTAACGATGCTCATGCACTGCTTGTTGTGAATCTTGGTAGGTGTGCAGGTAACCACACTGGATGTCAGCGTGTGTCTTCTTTGTTGTTGCCAGGCTGTTATGCATGGACGGGGCCGAGGACTGGCAGGCCCCCTGTGCCGGGGGCGCCTGATGCCAAATAAGCAGAACCTGCGGGTGGTGGAGTGCAAGCCGCAGCCCTGTGTGGTGTCCGTGGAGGGCTTGTCTTCATCTACCACTGATGCCCAGCTGAAGAGCCTGCTGATGTCCGTGGGGCCCATCCAGGTGAGTCTCTGGTGGTGGTGGGGTGCGGGTGCCAGAGTTAGCTGCCTCTCATGCCAATTTCCTGGAGAAGAAAATGCATATTTGTTCACACTTGATTGTAGAATTTTGCTTCAGACTCAAGATCTTAACTATAAGTTTTAAGAACTGAGTAAATGCAACTGAACAGATTTTCCTTGGAAATCCTCATGCTATATGGAGTCCACACATACACATAGACTTTTATGTATTGTGTCATTTTATTCATAATCTCTTCGGTTTTAAAGTAGTTAACCTGGGCTTGGTTCCCTCAAACGGCCTTCCCACATGAACGGCTGTGAAGCTGGGTTCGGACTGTATAAATGGCATGGTGACTCTGACTGTATCTCTTGTAAACTGGGCTGATCTACAAGAGTGAGTCAGAAACAAGCACCCGTGTCTGCTGTGATCAGGTTTTCTTGGAAGCCCTTGGTTTCTGTTGCGTCTGAGCCCTGAGCCTGCAGCTGACCAAGTGAAGGGACGTCCTGGCCGCTGTCACCCGCCTCCCCGCACACGGTGTATCGGGAGCGCAGCTAGTAGAGGTTTAAGATACACAGTAAGACACACAGTGAAAGCTACAGTCAGAGCTGAGTGGTACAGAGTGCTGTCTTTTATCCTGCTTTCTTGCTTCCCAGGTAAACCTAGGGTCTGATATAAGTTAGATACAATATGTTTCAGACAGCCACCCACTGAGAGCCCTGAAAGTGAAGAGTGGAAGAAAGCCCTCCAGAACCCTGCCTGATTCTTAGGTTGTCTAGGTTAATTATGGCTACCTGTATTACGGGATTCTTGGAGACATAGTTAGAATTATTTGTTATTTGTATTTAGCTCTGAAAACGTCACCTTCGTTTTGAGAGCAGATTTCTAGTGTGCAGTTAGGAATGCTTTATTGATGGCGGACATCAAGCTTGTGTGGAGGGATAGGTGTTCTTAGGTGTGGTAGAGGGCAGGAGGATCTCATGTTTGAGGGCCAGGATAGGTGGTATAGCCAGACCCTGTCTTTTAGTGATGCAAGATGCGTGGTTTCTAAGCAGCTGCATGATGAGGATTGGTTTGCAGACACAGCATTGATGGTGGGGCATAGGTGTACTTCCAGGGCTATTCCAATTGGAGACCAAACAAACAGTTTAGTTGTGATGTCAGTATGAGAGCCTTGTCCCCTGCTGTGCCCCTTGCTGCTTCCAAAGAGCTGGTGTCTGTAGTGCAGTCTGCCGTGCTTGGGCTCAGGCTGGGGCTCTGGCTCTGGCTCCTGGGGAAGGCCTGATGACGTGGCTGCCCGTGCGGCCTGCTGGGCCCCGCAGTCTGCTCTCTTTCTTGAATATTGTGGTGTAATGGCACACTTAGCAAGCAGGTACTGTTTGCTGCTTCTGGACATGGACTGGGGCTCAGAGCTCCAGGATTAGCCGCACCCCGTGGAAGCATCTGCCCCGCCTCACCTGTTTTATAAGTTGAATTGTAAACTTTGAGATTATGAAGCTCTCGAGTGCCCCCTGCATCTGCCACTCCCCCCCCCCCCCCCCCCCAATTCTGAAGAGAACTAGAAATTGTGTTACAAAGAATCTTTAACGGCACTCCTGAAAAATCCTTGCAAAAACAGTGTTACAGTTGACTAATGGCTTGCTTTATGTAGAAGCAGCATCTGAAAAGGAGAGCGTGTTCTGGGTTGTAGAAGGTGCTGTGTTCCAGGCCCTCCATGGGTTGCCCCTGTGGTGGGTCCTTGTCTTCCTTCCTGGAGGCCAAGGCTCAGTCTGCGCCAGTTCTCTGTGAGTGGAGTTTATAGATGTTTAGACGTGGTACTTACAAAACACAAAGTACTTCATTTCTTAATTAAACAGGAGAGGCCCTCAGTGCCGCCCGCGTCAGAGACACTGAGGGGGTGCTGCCCCTGCCTCCAGGCCTGGGGAGGAGAGCTCAGTCTGTGCTTGGACATGGCGCCACCTAGTGTTTACTTGCTTGGCCACAAGCTCGTAAGCCCTGAGGACTCCTTACAATGCGCTCACAGGCCTCTCCAGAGCTAGGAAGAGTAGCAGGATTGTAGGAATTGTGTAGCAGAACATGGACCTGATATTATCCAGACTTTCAGATGGGCGAAGGTGCAGTGCACCGAGAGTGTGCTCCTCAGGGTCCATCCTCCTCCTAGGGTGCAGCCAGGCAGGCTGAGTCAAGAAGCAAGCTCACCGGAACTCCTAGGGTCTTGCTGAAATGGTGTCACTTTTTGCTGGGGTTTGCCTAAAGTTGTGCTAAGAAGAAAAAAATAATTTTTATCCTACGCTAAATGAAATTCCATAATTGGGAAACAGAAATTGTTCCTTACAAAAGCAGGAAGGTTGTCTGCACTCGGTGAGCATCATTGTCAGAGTTAGGGAAGGTCAGCCCTGGGTACCACAGAAATGTAACTGTCCATCCATGGCTCTGTGCCAGACTGTCAGCTCTCGGCATCAGCTTCGTCATCTCCTCCAGCAGTCCTGAGTTAAACACCTAGCCACGGCCAGCTCACTCTTCTGCTGCTGTAGTGACCCTCTGAGCACAGCCAGCTAGAGTGCCAGAGCGTGGGCTTGGCAGAGAGACTGGCTGTAGGCTTTGCAGTGCCTGTCTTGTTGTGTGCCACTTGGGCAGATGACGTTCAGGAACTAGGTTGACTGCGTGTATAAAATGGGGATGGGCCTTGGGCTTCCATGTTGTGTTGGTTAGATGAGCTGGTGTGCCTGCCTGTGGTCCTTATGTGAGGTGTGCTCAGGGGGCTGCAGACAGCACTGCTGGAAGAGGGCATGACGGCATGCAGGCAGTGTCTGGCTGGTGGTGGATGTAGGCTCACAGTGCTGCCCGAATTCCCTGAGAATCACAACGGGAAGTGCACTGCTGAGTGACTGTACACTTCCTGCTTTTGTAAGGAAATTACTTCTTTGTTCTTAATTCTGTAGTTTCATTATCATAGGATAAATCTGTTTTGGAACAGTGTAGGCTCACAGTGTGCAAGTATGTACATTTTACATTGCAGTGTGGTATTAAATGTTTCTGTTTCCTTCCTCTAGAGTTTACAGATGCTTCCCCAGCAGCGGAAAGCCATCGCAAAGTTCAAGGAGCCAGCCCATGCGCTAGCATTTCAGCAGAAGTTCCACAGGTAGTCTGTGTTCTAGCTGATGGCAGGAGGGGAGGCGCAGTCTTGGGGTTCAGACCGCTGTTCTAGGGTGCGCAAGTTCCCAGAAAGCCGTGGGCAGCACATATGCTCAGAAGGCCACGGGGAGGAGGGGCTCGCATTGCTTGTGCGGATGTGACTTTCCTGGGTGATTTTCGTGGCTCACGCATGGGCCTGCCTTCCTGGGTTTTGCCTGCTGTGTAGATCTAGTATTGACATCTCTCTGAATTCCTGCAGGCACATGGTCGACTTGTCTCACATTAACGTGGCCCTGATTGTAGAGTGATTTCCCCAGTCGGGCCTCACACTGCACACACTGTGGAATTTCCTCCAGGAGGCTGCTGGCCAGCGGGACCCAAGGAGCACAAGTCTCCAGTGCCCAGCCGGCTAACTGTTGTTCGGGACACCAGCCAGCCACAGGGTCATTCCAGAAGATCTGAACTGTGGGGATGTGATGAGCCAAGTCTGGTGTTAGGTTGCTTCCAGTTCTGTTGTCAGAACTCCAGTCCTCCTTTTCTTTTGTTTTCCAAGTGCTTACAGTGCATGTAGACCCTGTTCTTGGTGACCTCCTGTGTGATCCGGCCACAGCAACTTAGGTTCAGGAAGGAACGTCACTGGCACATGTTTTGAGTGGTTTCCATAGCAAAGAATACTTGATAATGGTTGCACTTATCTTCAGTGCAGGCTAGAGCAGAGCTTTGTACCAGGCTTAACTGGAGCTGTTTGCTCAGAAAGCCCTCAAAGGCTCTGCTAAAAACGTAGGATAAATTTGGGTGATTTTGGATTGGTGTGGGCACGCCCTGGAAAGCATGGTGTGAGTGGGCGTTGGGGGGGGCGCCATGGAAGTGGAAGTGGCCATTCTGCTTCTTGTAAATGTCTCCCACACGCCAGCAGCGCCTTCCAGAGTCCCAGGTGAGCACTCGCAGACAAACCCGGTGCCGCTGGGCCCAGGGCCCTGCACCCCGGACAGGACAGCTCTGCCGCCTCCAGGCGGTCCTCTCGAGGCCTGGCAGCCTGCCTTGCCCAGTTGAGGTGCATTTGGAGGGCGGCAGATCTCCTTTGAGTTTTCTTTTAAAGGCAGCCCTGGGTGGCGTGTCTGTGTTGCCTGCCGGGTGATGTGCACAGTCACTGCTTTTTTTTTTTTTTTTTAAACTTTTGTTTTAAGGGACATGCTGTCTGTGGGGGCCATCACCCAGAAAAAGTGGGTCTGTGCTAGTGGTCCTGGTGGGTGCTTGCAGGTCAGATGGCTCCATGTGCTAGAGGACAGCGCGGCACCCACCTGTGCTGCCCGTGGGGGGTCCCAGTGAGGGTGCAGTCCGACAGGGCGTGGCCTCAGCATCACTCACGTGATTTCATAACACACTTAGGAGGGGATGGAGGGAGCTAGGAGCCTGTGCCCACTTCCTGTCCCTGGTTCGCCCACCGAGGACCGGCCTGAGCCTCGCAGCTCTCCAGAGCCACCGTAGACTCCACGGAGGCAGCGTGGACTGACAGCAGCCGCCCTCTAGAGCTGGCGCGCTGCAGTGTCCGTCAGCAAGGGCACTATGTTAGGAGATAGGGATCCTCCTCGGGGGCCCTGGGCACCTGGCCCCCTGGGACGTGGCCTGGCACTAATTCTGACTTCCCTGTGTCCGCGGAATTCTGGGGAGCCAGGAAATGTCAGCACTTGTGGCATATTCTAGAAAACTGCAGCTCTGCTGTCAGCTCTGTTCTAGAAGCCCCTGACTTGCCCCATGCAGATACAGACGAGGCCGGCTCTGCATGCCTGTAACAGGCCCGGGCACTAGGCCATTCCGTGTGCTGTCAGGGTGACCTGCTGTCGTTATAGACACAGGTGTGATCCTAGGTGTAAACAGTTTATTTGGCTCAGGTCAAGTGGTTGGGTAGCCATAGGAGCTAGCCCGAGGAGAGCCAGACCACTGCTTACCCACCGGCCTTGGGAAGGCTTAGCAAGGTTCACAGGGTGTCAGATGGCCCGCCCCATCTGCATTTTCTCCCTTGAGAAGTAGGCACTAAAGCATGGCAGTCAGTGTTAAGGGAACAGGTCCCGTTTGGGTTCCATTCTCAAGGATAGACTTTGGAGCTACTCACAGCTTGCTCTTGGCCCCTTGCACATGTGCTATAACTGCGCACTCCAGCAGGCAAGCAGCACATGGGAGCCAGCCCCCACCCAGTCAGACAGCCTCGGTGCACCATGCACGGCCACAGGGAGTGGGCTCAGGATATGTGCAGGCTCAGTCTCCCAGCAGGACACCATAGCGAAGGAGAGAAGCAGAATTAGAAAGGAATGCCTTTCCATTTCCCGTGCACTTCCACAGTGAAGTCCAGCCACGCACCTGACCTCGTGGAAGATCTGCTGCAACCATTATCTTTGTTCTTTTTTTTTTTTTTTATCATGCATTTGAAATGAGATGCAAAAGCATTGGCATATGTAAATACGGACCTTTTAAAATTAAAACGTTACTGGAGATGCTTTCAGCTCAGCAACATCTTAGCTATTTGTTAGTTCTTTTGTGTTGTCTCATCAGAGTTCAATGGAGACACTTCCGTAATTGTTGATGTGTTTGTGTATACATTCAATTTTTATAAAGATGGTAGTAAGTCAATACATTTACCCTCATCTGTGTATTATTTGTTCACAAATTCAAGGAGCTTAAGCAGTAAATATGGCTCTATCTCTGCAGGATCAGCAGGCCACGGCCTGGGGCCAAGTTATTCCCCTCCTTCCTTCTGCATTGTTGATTTGTACTGTAATATGAGTTCACGTAGCTGCTTACTTGGTCATAACCTTGCATGACCCTGGCATGGCCACACTTGTGAACCCTTATCTCTTCTCTTCTGGAGGATAAGGCTAAGCTCTTCTTCCCCAAAGAAATTCATAGGTGCCCCTGTGCTCACCAGCTTTCTTCGAAGGTCCTGCCCCCAGCCTCCTCATGCAGGAGTGGGCTGGGCTGGGTCGGGTGTGGGATTTGTTTCCCCATAATTACTTTTAGTCTTGAGTGGGTTCGTAGTGGGATGGGTGAGGGTCCTGAACAGTTGTCTAGGCTGGTATTGGGCACATTTCTGAATTGTTAGAACTTGGGCCCTTTGTTTCCAACAGCCTCTGCCTAATGCTGCAGACAGGCTTGCTGCCCAAGGTCATCAGCAAGGGGTCAGAGGCTGTGGAGGGGAGGGGCTGGTGGGAGGGGTCAGTGTGGGTGTCTGCTGTGCGTGCCCTGACTGGGCCTCCAGGGGTGGTTCTGTAGTCAGACCCAGAACCCCAGAGAAACAGGCCCTGGGTGGCTTCCTGGAGAGAGCTCTGTGCTGGGCCTTAGGGCTGGGCTCCACTCACCAAGGCATGTAGGTTAGTTAGCCAGAGGAAGGGGCCTTGTTTGAAGGACTGGGTTTGGGAACCTATCACTTCTCTTTAGAATTCTGTTTTTTTGTTTGGTTTCAATTCTGTTTCGCCTTTTTGTTTCACTGTGGTTTTGTTGGGAAGGTAAGCTCGGTGGGCTTGTAGGCTGTTAGACAGATGCTGGGTGAAGGGAAGTCTTGTAACCTGGTTGCACGGGTCCTCGGAGGGAGGCCCAAGGTGGTGGCTGAGCCTTGTTCTTAGTAAGGCTCTGTGTGCCTGCTCCTGGGCCCCTGGGCCTCTGGGCCTCATGTGGGGCCCGGCTTGTATTTCCCTCCCTCCCTCCTGCGAGTAGAGGGGTGGGAGGAGCACTGAGGAGGGTTGCTGGCTGTGCAGGTGTGCTGTGCAGGGTAGAGGGACTGAGTCCCCGTCCACAGAGTCGAGACCAGTCGGGGGGGGGGGGGGGATCCTTAGATACTGTTTTTAATAAGCATTTCTAGTATTTAACAGTTGTGGGGGGAAAAAAAGGTGTCATTTCCACCTTCTTAAATATGCCCCCTAAAGGCGTTTGGCCTTGATTTATCATTAAATCCTAAGGATTTTATGTAAGGTTTTTTTGTGACCTATTTAGTTTTTATCTCTTACAATGCCTAGCTTCCTAGGTACATAAGCCCATGGCCTTGTGTACCGGAACCAGAGCAGCCCACCGATTCATATTGGATCTCCAGGTATGCCTCGTGCTGCACACACCGCTGGCGGGGGCTCTCGCGCACACTGGTGCTGTCTTCTCTGGAGACTGCTAAACAGCTCCCTCTTTTGGATGCTGTTGATAGCAAGATGGGCCAGTGGAGCAATGCTTTTAGGGGAGAAAGCTCTCAAGTTCTTGCTTTTCCTTTCTTTCTAACCAGTGGAAGTGGAAAGAGGATTTTACGTCTGTATTCTCCCTGCTTTCGTTTTACTAATTTTGAAAGGTTTGTAGAGAGACGCTTTGTGTAGTTTTTTGGTGTGTTATTTTTTTTAATGTGTTCCACAGACGGGGCAGGAGGGCCGGTGTGGTGCTCATGTGCTCTGTACTTGACGATGTCCTCTGCTGTAGAGAGTAGGCACATGGTTCTTTACTAAACTCCTTTTCATTTAAGGCATGTGCCGTGGGATCTGCGTTGACAGGAACGGAGTGTCGCTCTTCGGAGCTTTCTTCCAGCTGCCACAGCCGCACACGGTGCTTGGGGGCAGAGGCCCGCCTGCCGGTTCTCAACTCAGCTTTGCTTCCCACAGGCCAGGGACCAGAAGGCTTTTTTTTTCTGCAAGGATCTAACACGCTTCAGTCCTGCTCTTCCTTTGCAGGTGCAGCAAGAGCCGCGGACCTGTGCCCTTTCACCCGCGCCCCCCCCCCCCCCCCCCCCCCCGTCGGGTCACCTCACCCCAGCCCGGCTCCCGCTTGCTCCTCTCTTCTCTCCCACTGGAGGCCCATTCCTCCCATCTGTCACCTTCTCCCGCTGCCCTCTCCCCTGCCATGCTCTCTGCTCCCCCTGCCTCGGCCCTGCGCTGTCTTCGGCATGAATGCTCGCGACCGTCCAGCCTGGTCTCTAACCTTTGCTTTGGCAGGCCTCTCCTTGTGCTTCCTTCTTCCAGGTCGTGGTGAGAGTAACGTTTTGCTTCTGTTACTTTGCAGTTGGTTCTGTAGGAGTGTGGGGGCCACAGATGCCAGCATCGCTCAGGTGTGGTTGGCGTGTCATTAACACCCCCTTCTGTTTTTGCCCCTCTGCCTTTGCAGGACCCGGGCGTGGGTCAGTGGTAGTGGTAGCATTCTCGTTCTGCTTGGAAGTGTGGCCATGAGGCCGTGCGCTGCCCCTGGTGACTGGTCCTGCACTGGCCTCCCTGTGTCCCCGCGGCTCAGGGGCCAGTGGGGCACCCATGACTTGATGGGAGCGCACCAAGCGGTTAAAAGCCAAGAGATGGCCGCCTTGCTTTCCTCTGGGCTCCTCTTCCTTCCTGTCTCCTCTGGGTGCGGCCTGCCTGCCTGTGGGAGGGGTCTGGCCTCACCTCAGAATGTGTATGTGAAGAGTAGTGGCGACATAGGTGCGAGGGATGTACTGTTATGTATCATGTGTGCGATTGCCTACTGAAAATGTGCTTCCGCTGTTCTGTACTTGGAAAGGTGTCAATAAAGGCTCGTAGCTTCCACACGGTGTGGTCCTTAGTCTCCTTCCTCCGCGTGTCTGCCGTGCTGCCCTCCAGGGCAGGGGAGGGCGTCTCGTCCGGGCGCGCGCCCGCCGCCTGTGCTGCCCAGGCCCAGGAAGGCCACCAGATGCCACAGGAATGGGGCCCACGCTTACTGGACAAAACCAGAGACTTCGCACTCGTGAAAACACTGCAGGTGGGGGAGACCGGCCCAGCCCCCAGGCCTGTGCCCGCCCCGTGCCACCGCCCTCAGTGTAGGCTGGGAGTTTGTCACGGAGTCCGCCTCCCCAAGCATTCTCAGTACAGCAGTGCTGTTCCAGGAAGCATCGTTCAGGAACACCTTCGAGATACCCAGATGTGCTGTGTACACGCCCTGCCCCGCCCCCGCCCCGGCCCCGCCCTGCCCCGCCCCCGCCCCTGCCCCTACCCCCACCCCTGCTCCTGCCCCTGCCCTGCCCCTACCCCCACCCCTGCTCCTGCCCCTGCCCTGCCCCATAGCTCATCTGGACCAACCGCTCTCACATGGGAAGTGCTTACTGGGCACAGGCCAGTGGTGGCAGTGACAGTACAAGGGGCATACCCTTTCTGGTCATACACATTGTCACTAGCCAAGGGTTGAAGGTGGCGGCCAGTGAGACAGAGCTGGATCAGAACACACCAGTTGGCACAGGAAGGAAATGTATGTGCCCCTTTGTTTGGGTCACTACTCAACAGCCCTGAGTATATGACAGCACTCTGGAGGATTGGTGAGCCTCCAGACCTGTCTCCTGAGTAGGATTACGGCCTCTTCTTAGAGAGACTGGATTAGTTAAGTAAAAATACTTAATAAGTTCAGACTCTGGCCAGACGCTGGTGGCTCACGCCTATAATCCTACCTACTCAAGACCCTAAGGTCTTAGGGCTGTGGTTCAAAGCCAGCCTGGGTAGGAAAGTCTCTGAGACTGCAATAAACTATACGCAGAAAAAGCCAGAAGTGGCATAGTAGCTCAAATGGTAGAGCGCCAGCACTGAGCATAAGAAGCCAGGGACAGTGTGGCCCAGTCCCTGAATTCAAGCCCCCAGGACTGTTAAGAGAATTAATTAAAAAGGTTCTGGTTCTTAGAAGAAAGTCAGCCAGATAGACAAATCGCTTGCAATTAAGAAGGCAAGAACCGAGGGTGCAGTTGCTAGTGCTCCGAGCTCTCTTCCATGCCGTTTGCCTTCTGCCTGTCACTCGCAAGAGGGGTTGGGGTTTGTCCATGGGTGACAGTTTTTCTGACAGCGTAAGTCCTCAAAGCCATTTCTACAGCACTTCAGGGCTTCCAAGACTGCATACTACTCCATTCCATGTCGGGACTTCCGAGACTGCATACCACTCCGTTCCCGGTGCAGGACTTCCAAGACTACATACCACTCCGTTCCGTGTGCAGGACTTCCGAGACTGCATACCACTCTGTTCCGGGTGCAGGACTTCCGAGACTGCATACCACTGTGTTCCGTGTGCAGGCCGCGTTTGGTTGACCAGGTCGTCTTTTGGATGTCTGGTGGCTTCCAGCTCTTCCAGCTCTGGTTGTCAGGAGCAGAGCCTCTGTGGATGTGACACTTAACCACCATCAAGCCCTGGCTTTCAGTTCTTTGGGCTCTGTAAGCAGAAGAGGAGGTGCTGGTGGGGGGTAATTCTGTTTTTGAGGTGTCTTCATCCTGTTCATTCTCCAGCAGAGCCAACTTGCTGGGGTTTGAATTCAGGACCTCACGCTCTACCACATGAGCCATGCCTGCAACTCTTTTTATCTTTGCTATTTTTCAGATAGGTCCTCACATTTTTGCCAATGGCCAACCTCAAATTCAGATCCTCTTTGCATAGCTGGGGCCAGAGATAATGTACATTCTCTCAAGTACACACTACGTTCTCGAAGATAAACCACGCTTGGCCTCCAGGTCAAACTTAAGAGTGAAGTCGTGTTGGAGGGACAGAGATGGACAAAGAGTGAACGAAGGCAGCAGTGGTACTGGACACTGTTGAAAAGGGACTACACCTGATGGGTAGGCTGGGATGGACAAAGTGAAAGGAAGGGAAGGGGTGATACTTTCCAAAAAGAAATGCACTCTGCCTGACGCAGGTA